AAAAACAAGAGTCCAGCGCTTAACTGAGCCACCCAGGTGTCCCTTCAGTATCATTCAGAACTTAGATGGTCACGATTCCCTTTTTTTTAACCTCTCTTCAGTTTGTAATTGCCCTCCCCATAAAACAGTCTAGAACTGATAAGTGATTTGGGCTTAGAGATGAATATAGCACAGGTGGCTTTGAACCCTCACTACCACCAGTCAGTCAGTCATGCTGCCGGCTGGTGGTAGTAACAGCAGTAACGGGGGCGCCTGGGTGGCTCAGTCCTTAAGCGACTGCCTTCGGCTCAGGTCATGATCCCAGGGTCCTGGGATCGAGCCCCTCATCGGGCTCCCTGCCCAGCAGGAAGCCTGCTTCCCCCTCTCCCACTGCCTGCCGCTCCCCCCCTGCTTGTGCTTTCTCTCTCTGTGTCAAATAAATAAATAAAATCTTGAAAAACAAAAAACCACAGCAGTAACAGTAATGAAAATAGTCATGGCAGCACCAGCAGTGGTCTCATCATTTGGATGCATACTGTGTGCCTGCCCTGTGTGAAATACTTTCCATAAATTCTTCCATTTAATCCTTTGACAGCTGGAAAAGTCAAGGTTCAGAAAAGTTAAAGTCAAACCGCTGATGTGAGCAGGACTGGAGCTTGACCCCGCACCCCCAGCTCTGTGTGCTTCCCAGGCCAGTGCTCTTTGCCTCCGTGTTACACCAAGCGTGAAGTTCTCATCTGCCTCTCTGCCCAACACAAAATTCTGCAAACAGATCTTTCTCTCTCTCTCTCTTTAAAATTAAAATATAACCAACATATAACATAGCATAAGTTTAAGGTATACAAGGTGTTGTTTGATCCATATGTATTGTAATACAATGACTACAGTCACATTAATACCTCTATCATGTCACAGAGTTATCATTTCTTTTTCGTGGTGGGAACAATTAAGATCTAGTCTCTTGGCAACTTTGAAGTTTATAATACAATGTTGTTGGCTCTAATCACTATGCTTTGTGTTAGATTTCCAGGACTTACCTATCTACTAGTTCCAGGTTTGTGACCCGAACAGATCTTCTTTAAGCTTATGACCTACAACATAAGCAACTGCCCACTGGGCATCTCTACGTCTATGCCTGAATAACACCCCAAACAACACATTATCTAAAATGAACTCTGCGATCTCCTTAACCCCTTTGTGTGCCACAACGACTGTTCCTACCCTATCCTGTGTCTTGTAGACACTGCCTCTGCCAGCCTGTCCCATCATCCACGAATGTCCCTCCTTTTCCTTTACTCCTCCCCCTTCAAGCCCTTGATGCATCTAATTGCTTATATCCTAAATTAAATCTCTCTCAGCAATGCACTTCAGTTTCTTTGGATCCCCACTGCTGCTCCCCCTCTGACCGCAGCCCTCAGCTTTCTCACCTGGATCCCCCCACACACGTGGTAGCTGCTCTCCCCGCCTCAGCCTAGCCTCCCATCCCTTCCCAGGCCCACACGCACTCCCTTCCAGTCCACCTTAAGTCTTAGCCTAGAACTTTCCTCTTTTGATAGCCCCTCTCTCTGACTCCCACGAGTCTGGATGAGGTGTCCTTTCTCCTTTTATGTCCTAAAACTCCATATTTGCTGCCACTTAATGGAGGATGAAAAGATCATAATTCATATTAGCATGATTTTGTACTGGAAAAGCACGGAACTGGCATTTAGAAAACTTAAGAATTTAGTCCTGTTTGTGAGTATTATCCAGTCTTCTGGAGCTCACTTTGGAATGTATGAGAGCATTACATTAGGGCCATGGGTTTCAGTTTGTGTAATCATTTGTTTTTTGCCATAGGACTCCATTGTTAAGCTCTTTTCTGAAAGGGCCTAAATCTGGAAGCTAAAATCGATAAAATGTGAACTCTGAGGTATGGTGTGGCCCAGAGGCTCAGCTGGAGCTCCCTGTCCCTCCTTCCCAGCATCTGAAGGGTCCTGGAGATGCAAGGAGCACATTTTGAAAATGCTGGCCCACAGGATCTCGAAGATCTCTTCCAGGAAGCATAGACTCCTTGTGCCTTCAAATATGCCTTTTAATTAATTTTCTTAAAGAGAGCCTTCGATTCTGTGCTGTTGTGCATCTGAAGTTTTAACTGACTTTTAAATTTGGTGAATTTCAAATCTGAAAAGGGAGAAAAAAGTGAGGAACCTCTGTGTAATTTTGAGGTCTTTCTCCTTTGCCACCTAATGAGTTTTAAACAATGAGCATGCTAGAACTTTTATAAAACTATATAGCCACCGCCATCTTTAGTTGACAGTGGCTTTTGAAATCTGCTGGAAAACATCAGACTAGCATTCTCGCTACTGGGCACTGTGCTCTCATATAGAGTTCGTAACCCTCCAGGCAGAAAGTATTGTGGAAGCATCGTTAGCCTTCTTTGTACATTTGTCCATCTGCAGACAAATGGACAGCCATTAAAACTCTTCACAGGAACCCGGATGTACGAGAAAAACAGTACTGCAGAACTTCAGTGTCCTGTACAATAGCCGCTAGCCACATGTGGCTATTGACCACTTTTGATGTGGTTAGTCCAAATTGAGATGGACCATAAGCATAAAATATGTACCAGATTTCAAAGACTTCGAAAGAAAGTAGCAGGTCTCATTAATAGTTTTTGCTGTTGATCACATGTCAGAATGATAATTTTTTTAGGTATATTGACCTAAATAAAACATTAATAAAATTAATTTCACCTGCCTCTTTTCACTGTTTTTTTTTATGAAAAAACTTAAAATTACATAAGTGGTTTGCATTGTGTTGGACAGTGCTGCAGTAAGAAAGTTGATGATTCTAAAAATACCTAGAAAGTGTCCCATAAACTTGGAAGTGTTGCACAGGGTCAGCTCCTAAACCTCTAAAGGTGGTGTCTATATTCTGCACAGTTTCAGAACTCTGAAAAAGTAAGGAGGTCCAGGCTCCATCCTGTTACATCCAAATGCTGTGTCATCACCAGCATCATGGTCTAATAAGCCAAATGGAATTTACCAAACTTCTTCCCTTTTCTCCGCCTATTCCAAAGGCCTACAAATCCATTATTAGTATAAGGGTCCTGAAGTTAGCCTAGTAAAAACTACTAGATGATGGAACAGGGATCCTACTCCATTCAGAGCCCCATAGGTCTGCTATTGAGGTGTTTATGAATCCAGCCGACAAGAAGGGACACCTTGTCTCTTAACTCAGAGTCCTTTGGGGATTTGTGAGTAGACCCTGGGAGCAGAAGTAGTATGGATAAAAATAATACAACTGTGGTTTCCTATTAGAGATTTTCTGTCACATAACCATTTCTCATTTGATTTGATAATTTTTCTCCCAAAAAGTATCTGGTAGACCATATTTCTTTCAGACATTCAACAAATATTTATTGTCAGCCCTATGCCAGGCACTATTCTAGGCCCTAGTGATAATTAAAAATAGGACAAATGGAGTGAACATCCTAGAGATACACCCCAATGCTAAGTTGTAAATTGGGGGAGGGCGCCGGGGTGGCTCAGTCCTTAAGCGTCTGCCTTCAGCTCAGGTCATGGTCCCGGGGTCCTGGGATTGAGTGCCACATACGGCTCCCTGCTCAGCTGGAAGCCTGCTTCTCCCTCTCCCACTCCCCCTGCTTGTGTTCCCTCTCTCACTGTGTCTCTCTCTGTCAAATAAATAAATAAAATCTTTAAAAATAAATAAATAAATTAGGGGGATATTATTTGGGGCTCTGTCAAGTGCCTTTTATTTACGACATATCAAGTTAACCTTTGACTTGTAAGATATTTTATCTCCTCCAAGGACTTGAGACTTTACCTTCTTGCTTTCGTTATATTTATCACTTCCTCCCGAAAGGGAGATAGTGTGCTGGGGAGGGAGGGCGGCAGCCGCTCATGGTGTGTTTTCTCTTCTTACTTTCCTTTTCACAGACTGCATTGAGCAGGTAATTTTCTCCCACAGGAAACCTAGCCATGGACACACTTTCTTACCTAATTGGATATAACTTTACCACTGTAATTACAGTGATTTCAGAAGTTGAGTTTAATTAAAATATGAATCCTGACTCTGAAAGCCTAAGGACTTTGGTACTCAAGTATAGGTACACACAGGTGAAAAAGAATGTCTATGAGAAAAGGTGGCTAAGTTTTTTTTTAAGATTTTATTTATTTATTCATGAGAGACAGAGAGAGAGAGAGAGAGAGAGAGGCAGAGGCAGAGGGAGAAGCAGGCTCCCCACTGAGCAGGGAGCCTGATGTGGGACTCAATCCCAGGACCCTGGGATCGTGACCTGAGCCAAAGGCAGATGCTTAACTGACTGAGCCACCCAGTCACCCTGTTTTTTTTTTTTTAAGTATTGTTTTAGTAGTATTAAAATTGTAGAGGACTGTACAGCACTTCTTTGGTAGCTTTCATCCATTGGTTTAAATGTTTTATACCAAAGGTCAACAATCCATGACACTATATGTCACAGGGAGCACACGGATGGATGGCAGGAAACACTTTTTCCCCTTGTTGATAGGGTTCTGCTTACCTTTAAAAGAGCTAGATGCATTGCTGCCCTTCCCTCTGAAGGAATTTATGCAGTGCCCTTCTCTGCCTGGGCATCTATGACTCTTTGTGTCTCTATATCCAAGATGGAAGCAGAATGGAACCTTACACCATTATCGTCAGCATTTTGCCGCCTCTCTCTTATTCTTGGTTTTCCTTTCTCTCTTGAGATCCGTGCTATTAATTGCTTGATGTATTCAATTTTCTACACCTGGAGCCAGTCGTTTTTTGTTGTTGTTGTTGTTGTTGTTGTTTAAAGAATAAGGAATTGTCCCTTTAGCTTCATGTTCAATAGATTTCTCTTTATCGTGATTCTATCAGAAGAGAAGGTAAAACATCCTGTGTGGCATTTCATCTGATCGGACTTTTTTTGTTAGTGACTGAGAACTTAAGTTGCTGAATAGCTTTGAACACCTTTGCTCTCTACGTGCATTTTCACCCTAATGTTGCAATATGTTTTTCAGGTTTTCAATTCAAAAACAGCTGAACTACTTAGTCATCATCAAGTGGAAATAAAACAAGAGTTTCCAAGAGAAGGGTACGTTTCCTGATTTAATATGTAAAAGATACCTCATCTTTATTAATCCATCTCCCCTTACCAGCCCTCTGGCCTTGTAAAGCAAACTTCACCAAACCCCTCCTGAGAAGACTCGAGAGATAGGTTTTTAGTCAAGGAAAGAAACAATACCTTGGTGGCTCAGCAAAAACACGTGGGTGATTGATGGCTTGGGAATTCAGTGACAGGAAAGGAAGGGATAATAAAGTAGTAAGGCAAAGGAGTATTAAATATCGGAACTTCCACATTGACTTTGAAGGCATTTAGTTCTGTGTCCATCCTTGGTGAACACTGCTTTGCTGATTGGAGTATAAGCATTCACATCTCTTACCATCGAATGCTAAAGTCATCCTTCTTGGGAATAATGTGCATATGTAGTTAGTTGTAATTGAATAGGATGTTAAGTATATTATTTAAAATTTAATGATGTTTATGATACACCCACTTCGAAAAACTGTGGCAGTTTCTTGGGAAATCAGCCATGTATCTGCAGGTTCTGCTCTTAGGAATTTATCCAAGGGAAATGAAAGAAGAAAGCATATGGCTGTAGAAAGACATACATGAATGTCTATAGAAGCTTTATTCATAATAGCCCAAACTGGAAACAACCCAAATGTCGGTCATCGTAGAATGAATAACTGTGAAATACCATGAGGCAGATTTTAAAACGTGAAGTGATGCGTGCAACAACATGGTTGAGTCGTATTAATACCATGAAACATGAAAAAAGCTGAACACAAAGGAGTACATACTACATGGCTATGTCTGAGATAACAAGAAGAGACGAAAGTAATCGAAGATGATAGAAACCCAAAAATCGGTTGCCTGTGGAGTATGTGATTGACTTGGAAAGAGGCATGAAAGAACTTTCAGGAGTGACAGGAATAATTCTATATCTTGAGTGGGGTCTTGGTTGGATGGACACATACATTTGTTAAAATTCAACAAATTGTATACTTTTAATCTGTTTTGTTTTACTTTAAAATTTAATTCAGTTTAAGAAAGAGAAAAAAAAAAACTTGATGCCCTACCAAGTTTTGGTATTTTCTTTCCATGAAAAATGTTCTCCTGCATTTTAGAGAAATACTTTAATAATAAAAGCTATTGATGTGGTACTAGCATTAGAATGACTGTCCACAGACCTAATCCCAGTGCAATTTGGAGAGAAAGCACCTGGGTCTCGAAGGGACTGAAGTTAGAAATATGTGGAAGGAGGTTAGGTTTTTAGAAAAAGAATTTAGAGATGACTCAAAGCTCAGGAAAGCCAGTCAGGCTCAAGGAAGGCCAAGAAGAAAGGCATTTGGAATTCCCTTGTACTTGTAGATTGTAGGGTAGGACTTTTAAAATTTGGGTCCTTTCTACTTGTGGCTTTCCTCAATTGCCATTTGTTTTTTCCACATTTCTCTTCCTTGTCATTTATTATGAGCCTTTGATCTTTCTGAGGTCCTTGTACCTTACCAAAATGGCACCAGGATTGGGTCTAAAAACTGGAAGCAAGCCCTTGTCTACATGAAATAATTACTGGAAGAAACTTAAATTTTTTTCCTTAAATTCTCACAAAATAGTTCGGGAGAAAAATAGCAAAAGAGATTAGTATACTTCTTTGACTTTTCAGAATTCATTTTGCTTCATAAATAAATAAGTACATACACAAATAAGTAAATAAGTAGATCAATCAGTCCATCCATCCCAAGAGTAATATATATATTTCAATCTACTTAGAAATAGCTAGTGACTAGTGAATGTCTGCGAACGGTTTATCAAAATTCATCAAAGCCACAGGATATAAAGAATTGGGGAACTAATTTCTTATTGAATTTGAAAAAATTATTTAAAAGTAGGTAGAGTATCTGCTACTTGCGGTCATTACTTGCCTTCTTTCAAATGATTAATTACTATATGAAGAATAAGAAAAATGTAAGGGAAATGGGCTTTTGTTTAAATCATTTGTTTAGAATATTGGCGATGCTTTCCTTTACTAATGTAATTTTCTTTGATTTATGCACCAGCCACACCCTCGTAAGTGCACATTTCTAGAGAAGTAAATTACATTTGTACTGCTTTCTTGTGGACTAACCAGATACATTCTTTTGTTCAAAGATGGGTGGAACAAGACCCTAAGGAGATTCTGCAGTCTGTCTATGAGTGTATAGAGAAAACATGTGAGAAACTTGGACAGCTCAATATTGATATTTCCAACATAAAAGGTATTTCTAATAGAATATTTTTCTCCATGTATGATTATCTCAATCAAATTCACTCATTCCTTCATTCAGCACATAACCGAGTGCCTGTGCAGTAGCAAGCAATTCTTTGTGAACCGAGGATGCAACAATAAATGGGAAGATTAAGGTCCCTGTTCTCATGAAGCTCTTATTCCGGTGGGTGTGAGCCCAACAGTAAGAGCAGACAAATACAAGCTGATCTCAGATACTGAGAGGTACCATACAGAAGCTGAAACTGAGTGACACAGTAGGGTGTGCCTAGAGAGGCTTACTTTAGTTTAGATGGCTAGAGAAGGCCTCTCTGAGGAGGTGACACTTTTGCCGAGGTCTCACAAGCCAAAGGGGGCCAACCATGCAAATAGCTGGGAGAAGAATGTTTGAGGAAAAGGAAGCAGCATGTGCAACGGTCCTGAGGTGGGAACAAGCTTGGCCTGTTTCTGGGTCAGAAAAAGGCCAGCGTGTCAAAAGTGGAGTAAAAGAAGGGTGAGGGCGGGGGTGCATCAGGGGTTTCAGTAGGAGCAGAAATCGGGGAAACGGATAGGGACTTGTCAGCCACGGTTAGGAGTTTGGGTGTTGTTATTCTTAGTATTACAGGGGGCCGGCCGTGCGAAGGTTTGAAGCAAGGTGACAGGATGACAGGATCTGACTTGCAGTTTGAAGACAACTTCCTCACGACAGTGTGGTGAAGTTGTGAAGGTCTGGGTGTGGACACAGGGAGACCAGTGTAGAGGCTGCCGTGGAAGTCCTGAGAAAGAGGATGGTGACTTGACTGACAGTGGTAGTGGGGGAGGTGAAGAGAGGGGGCAGAAGTTGATAGATGGGAAGTCAGGGTAATAGAGTAGTGCTGTCAGGGGAAGTGATGGGTCAAAGATGATGCTTGGGGTTTTTGCTGGAGCTCCCAGATAGACTGGGGAACAGCTGGGGGAGGGTGGTTGGAATCAAAGCATTTCACAAAGAGAATCTCCCCGAAATAATTGAGAGTGTTAGATTATTACAGATCTCTATTAATTCCAAGTAGTTTTATTGTTTTTAAAGATTTATTTATTTGAGAGTGAGAGCACGAGCAGGGGGAGGGGCAGAGGGAGAGGGAGAATCTCAAGCAGACTCCACCCACTGAGCCACCCAGGCGCCCTCTTAGCTAGTTTGACTCTACATAAGGGCAGCCATCAGTTGGTGGTGATGGTGCCTTGATTCACATCATATTGGCTCTGAGATTTACCAACACTCCTGAGTTGAAACTTTGATTATTTATTTATTTTGGTGGAGATGCTGAGGAGAACCTTTGAATTTGTTTTCAGACTTTCCTCTATTTGTATAAATAAAACTTCCTTAAAAAAGACTGGACCAGGGGCACCTGGGTCACAGTTGTTTAAGCGTCGGACTCTTGGTTTCAGCTCGGGTCGTGGTCTCAGGGTCGTGGGATCGAGCCGTGCTTCAGGCTCTGTGCTCAGCGGGGAATCTGCTTCGGATTCTCTCTCCCTCTGCCGCTCCCGCTTGTGCTCTCTGTCTCTCTCAAATAAACGGATACATCTTCAAAAAAAAAAAAAAAGACAATGTTATCAAAACCTTTCATTCAGCAGACTTCACGTGCTGGGTATGCTGGGGAAACAATGGAGCACGAATAGGGTCGTGCAGCTAACGGCCAAGGGAGGGAGACACGCGATAATGCAATGACAAATGAATGGACTATCCTACCTTTGTTTGTCCCTACATCTCTGTGGAAGTGCTTCAGACTTCTTTTAGAGCTGCATTCAACAAGTTTTAGATGAGTCGTGCATCAAAGTGGTGGTTGCTTGTGTCCTTGAATTGTTCTCACAGCTTTTGCAGCCTAAAGCTAGCTGCAAATGAGGGAAAAGGACTTATTGGAGGTCAGGTAGCTAGCTGTCTGTTATCGGATAACAGTGTTCATTTTCCTGAGCCACACTGGTACCTTCACAAACCACTTCACTTTTTGTTTTTCAGACCACCTCACTTTTTACTTCCTGTGTAGCAAATAAATCAGATTTTCCAGCTGAAGAGCAATTTATTTATAGTCTTACCTGTTAATCATTAAGAGTTTAGGGGCGCCTGGGTGACTCAGTCGGTTAAGCGTGTGCCTTCGGTTCAGGTCATGATGAGCCCCGCGTCGGGCTCCCTGCTCAGCCCGGAACCTGCTTCTCCCTCTGCCTCTCCTTGCTTGTGCGCGTGCGCTCTCTCTCCCTCCCTCCCTCCCTCCCTCCCTCCCTCAAATAAATAAATAAAATCTTTTAAAAAAATCATCGAGTTTATCATAGCTGGTTGTATTTTTTTAAGATTTTATTCATTTATTTATTTTTAAAGATTTTATTTATTTGTCAGAGAGAGAAGAGAGCATGAGAGCACAAGCAGGGGGAGCGGCAGGCTGAGGGAGAGGGAGAAGCAGGCTCCCCGCTGAGCAGGGAGCCCGATGCGGAACTCGATCCCAGGACCCTGGGATCATGACCTGAGCTGAAGGCAGATGGTTAACTGACTGAGCCACCCAGGTGTCCCTTATTTATTTTTTTTAAAGATTTTATTTTTATTTTTAAGCAATCTCTACACCTCTCTGCACCCAGCACGGGGCTCCAACTCACAACCCTGAGATCAAGAGTCACATGCTTCCCTGATTGAGCCAGCCAAGTGCCCCTAGCTGGTTGTATTTCTTTTGCAAATTCTAGTTTGATTGGTGTTAGTTGTCCTGCACCAGAAATTTTGTGGATTTCAGGTCTGGATGAACAGTGTCACCAAAACTAAAGTTCACTCTCCAGCTCAACCGCACACAGGAGTCCAAGACAAGTAAATAGGCTGCTTCTTTCCTTAAAGAGTTGGGAAGCTCTGTTTGCCTGTGACTGGGCTGAAGGAGCTACAGAGTATATAAAGAATTAAAGTACCAGATACTCTCATTCATCCTCATGTGATAGAAGCAAAATATAACATACACCGCTATAATCCTGAGAACATAGGTGCACCTGGCTGGCTTAGTTGGTAGAGCATGCAACTCTTGATCTTGGGGTCGTGAGTTCGAGCCTCAGGTTGAGTATGGAGATTACTTTAAAAAAGAAATTAAAAAAACCGAGAGCATAAAATTTTCAGTGATTAAATTCTCTTGTATCAAAAGTCATTACCACATTGTTAGAGAAAAGGGAAAGCCCCCACATCCACTACCTCGCCCTGCCAAACATATCCACACATATTTCTGTCTTCTATCTACTCTCAGGGGGTCTCAGAAAGACATCTCGTTCTCCAAAATAGCTTCCCAGCTGTGGTGCATCTCATTTCCAATTGTTATAAGATGCCTCAAGCACACATTTTCCAGAGACTGTTTTTCTTACAAAGCTTTAGACCTCTTTCCACGTGGCATTTTTAGTAGCCCCAGAGCCTCCCTCCGGGGCTCTTACTATTTCGCTTTGGGTGATTTTAGGGTTGGGTTTTTTTTTTTTCCTAAAAACATGTTCCAATTATAAGTTACGATTTTATTTTCATTAATTTTTGAAGTGGCTCTAGGCCCAACATGGGGCTTGAACTCAGGACCCCAAGATCAAAGAGTTGCACGCTCTACTGACTAAGCCGGCCAGGTGCTCCTGATTTTATTTTTAAATAAGGATGCCTACCGTCCATAATTCTACCAACAACACCCTGCAGTATTTCCAAAGGCTTTTTCTAAGTATATTTTCTTAACTGTCATTATAACTTTTCACAGGCAATGTTAAGCAAAATTGAACCAGAGATTCTGAAGTTAGCATTTAACTAGTTAATTTTACTGGAAGTGCTCATAGCTGAGAAAAATACCTCTTGAGAAGGAATGTACAGGTGAAGCATGAACCTCCTAGATACAGTGTACTACATTGGGTTTTATATATGTCAATGATGATAGTATCTATAACTAAAAGACTGTGGGGCCAGGAAATCATATATACTTTATGCATGTAACTCTCATATGCTCCTAAATGGGAGATAAACCCAAGGTGGAGAATTACAGAACCTCAATGTGTAATTCTGAGAAAGAGGGAATGAAAATTAGGCACTATTAAGAGAAGCATGGGTGCTGGAATCAGCAGTCAGAAAAGTTTTGTTTTTATCTTTTATTTAAATTCAACTTAATTAACATATATTGTATTACTAGTTTCAGAGGTAGAATTTAGTACAATTTTGTTTTTGTTTTTTTTTTTAAGCACGAGTGGGGGGAGGAGCAGAGGGAGAGGGAGAGAAGCAGATTCCCCGCTGAGCAGGGAGCCCAACATGGTGCTCGATCTCACAACCCTGAGATCATGACCTGAGCTGAAATCGGATGCTCAACTGACTGAGCCACCCAGATGCCCTAGAAAAGTTTTCTTTAAAAACAAAACACAGGGGTACCTGGCTGGCTCAGTGAGGTAGAGCATGTGACTCATGATCTCAGGGCCGTGAGTTCAAGCTTCACATAAAAAAAAAAGAAAATCTTAAAAAAATACAGAGGACTTTAGGGTAAAAATGACAAGAAGTTGGAACACTGAAAAAGTTCACAGGTACCTTATAAGGCCTGTGTGCCCTGAGGAGAAACCAGTAATGGAGATATGTTTATGGCTGCAGGAGAACCCTGAGAAGCTCTCTTGCTGGACTTTGTCTGCAAGAAAAGCAATTTTACTTCACACAAAGGAACCGAATTAAGATAGAAGGGAAAGAAGGAGTGGTCGGGGAGGAACCTGTGACCAATGAGTCAGATAGAAAATAGCCCTAGATTATATTCTGAATATAAGTTAAAATGAGCCAATAAAGAAGGGTAACCCAAAGGGCAGAGGAAAGTGATTCAGAGACTGTAGCTAAGTGAGCCCCACTGGTCTGTTTATGGAAAATTAATGTAGTGGGGAAGAATGGGAGATTTTACTGGACCATGAATTCATTGTGATCCCACAGTGTGAAGTTGTCACTAAAACGATCATGTTCACAGTATTCCAATTTAGCAGTCCATTGCTGAGGTCCCACTGAGTTCTCTGGCCTCTGTTGTGCCCCCAGTACTACTGGGCAATTCCTTTATGTGTCCTGTTTAGCTCAGTCCCATTCTCTGCAACTATTAGTCCAACCTCTCCTCAATAATATTGATGACAATGAGGGGCACCTGGGTGGTGCAGTCGGTTAAGTGACCAACTCTTAGTTCCGGCTCAGGTCATGATCTCATGGTCGTGGGATTGACCCTGAGTTGGGCTCCGCACTCAGTGTGGAGTCTGCTCTAGAGTGTCTCTCTCTCTCTCTCTCTCTCTCTGCCCCTCCTGCTCGTGCTTTCTCTCTCTCTAAAATAAATTAATTACTTAAAAATAATAATATTGATGACAATGAATGGAAGCAAAAAGGAACATTTATTAAACAGTTACCATGTGCCGGGCACTGTGGTAGTACGCGTTAACTCAGGGATTCTTCATTCTCACCCTGTTAGGTGGGAACTATTACCCCCGTTTTACAGAAGATAAAACAGATTGAGATCCAGGATCATGCTGCTAGGAAACAGGAATTCAAATTTGAACCCTAACAGTCTGGCTTCAGAGCCTGAGCTCTAATTGAATAGTGCCCCAAACTCATGATCCTATTTTGCCTGAGCCCATTTGAGCAGATAACCTTGTGTGCTACTTCACAGAGAACATTGAGGCTCTGAGGGCTTAATTCCTCATTTCCTATTCCTGTACTTAATACCTAGAACTCTTACCCACTTCCCCACATCACAAGGAAAGCAATAGCCTTCTGTCCTTCTGGAGGCTCCTCCCTCCACCTATGCATTAATCTCATCCCCTCTTGTCACTACAAGAATCAAGACCATGTCCCATTGATTTCCAGCTCCCCTGCCCCCTCTGCACATTCTCCTTGGTCTTCCATCTTTATTCCTACAAACATTAGTGTCTTCTGTTTTTAAGGAAATGCCCCCAAATCTCTTCCTTTTACCCTGTGACTCTAAATTTCCTGAAGTAGACCGTCAGTCATCTTTATACCTTTAGAAAAGGTGTTCTAGTAAGTAAATTTGCATTTGATAAAGGTTATTTAGATAAACTGTTAGACTCCCTAAGGAAAAAAGGGCTCAAATAAATAAGAAATGAAAGGGAGGAAGTTACAACTGATACCAAAGAAATACAAAGCATCGTAAGAGAATGCTATGAACAATTCTAGGTCAGTAAGTTGGACAACCTAGATGAAACTGATACATTCCTGGAAACCTACAATCTTCCCAGACTGAATCATGAAGAAATAGAAAATCTGAATAGGCCAAACATTAGCAAAGAGTTTGAATCAGTAATCAAAAACTAAACTAAAAAGCCTCTGCACAGCACAGGAAACCATCAACAAAATAGGCAGCCTACTAAATGGGAAAATGTATTTGTAAATCCTATATCTGATAAAGGGTTAATATCCAAAATTACAAAGAACTCCTATAACTCAATAGCAAACAGTCTGATTAAAAAAATGATCACGGGACCCAAATGTCATTTTTCCAGAGAAGTCCTACAGATGGCCAACAGGCATATGAAAAGATGCTCATCATCACGCATTATCAGGGAAATACAAATCCAAACCACAATGAAATATCCCAGCACACCTGTCAGAATGGCTATTCTCAAAAAGACCGTGACAACTGTTGGCAAAGATGTGGAAGAAAGGGGAACACTCGTGCACTGTTGGTGGGAATGCAAACTGGTGCAGCCACTGGGGAAACAGTATGCAGGTTCCTCAGGAAAGGAGAAACAGAACTACCACATGATCCAGCAAGTCCACTTTTGGGTATTTATCCAAAGAAAATGAAAACGCTAATTCGAAAAGATAGATACACCCTTATGTTCATTGCAGTTATTCACAATAGCCAAGATAGGAGCAACCAAAGTGTCCATTGACGGATGAGTGGAATATACAATGGAATATTATTCAGCCATTAAAAAATGAAATCTTGTCATTTGTGACAACATGGATGGACCTTAAGCGTATGCTAAGTGAAATGTCAGACAGAGGAAGACAAACACTGTAGGACTTTACTTTTATGTGGAATTTTAAAAAACAACACAAACAAAACTCATAGATGCAGAGAACAGAGTGGTGTTTGCGGGTGGGAGGGGGGCAAAATGGGAGAAAGGGGATGAGATACAAGCTCCAGTCATAAAATAGATAAGTCATGGGGATATACTGTACAGTATGGTGACTATAGTCAACAATATTGTACTGCATGTTATGTAACTTTGTATGGTGACAGGAGGATACTAGATTTCCTATGATCTCTTTACAGTGTATACACCTACCCAATCATGTTATATACCTGAAACTAATGTCAATTATAGACCTCAAAAAAAATACATATTGCTCATTCTCCATAGGCCAGTTTTCATTGTTCTCTATTACACATAAAATCTCCTTAAAGTAAAATCTAAGTAATTATGTTTTTTATTTAGATTTTAATGTATTGTTTTAAAAATAAACTGTTGTTTTGAGCTTTAAAAAGAAGATTATTTAGAACAAGGGAACTATTGGTCCCCCTCAGCTCTGTGCTGGTCCGAACATTCCTGTTGTGTTTTATTCTGGGTGTACAATTTGAACAGTATGGACAAAGTTGTGTGTTCCTAGGAGGGGTGGTGAAGGGATTTTAAATCATGCCACATGGAAGGGTGCCTGGCTGGCTCAGTCGGGAGAGCATCTGACTCTTGATCTTGGGGTTGTGAACTTGAGCCCCATGCTGGGCATAGGGATTACTTAAAATAAAACTAAATAAACCATGCCATATGGTGGGAGTAGCGGAAGGAAACTGGACTGTTTAGCTTACATGGCAAGAGAAGACCCCGGGGGACAATATAGCTGCCTCAAGGTTGTGAAAGGCTCGCATGTAGAAGTATTAACCTTCTTCCACGTATCTCCAAAGACTACAGCTAAGATCTGTAGGATTTTTTTTTTAAATAACAAAGTTGTGAATAAAGATCGGTCTGCCTCAAGAGAGGTAGTGAGTATTTTGTCACTGGAAGCTCTGTCTGAATGGTCACGTGATGAATGGTTTTGGGGGAAATTTAAGTGGAAGACCTGTTATTGATTATATAGCCTTTAAAGTCGGTCCTCACCTTACGTTCTGAGAGAAGAGAGTTCGATCCTTCAGGCCAGTGTGTTTGACCCAGGCTGCACGGTAGAATCACTTGGGGAGTTTTAAAGAAAAATACTAACGTTCAGATCCTACCCCTGTCTGTTAAATTGCAATGTTTGGGTCATGGCCTGGGCACGGATACTTTTTTTTTTAAAAGCTCTCCAGTTGATTCGAATGTACAGCCAAGTCTGAGAACCTCTGATTTAGCTGAATCAAGCTGTTGAATAAAATGGAATGGATTAGTATTTTTACCTAAAATAACTGTAACTATAGTGTTTGAGTCGTGTGAAGGTCAGTATAATGTAAATGCCATCACATATTGTATTTATGCCTTATTCAAATTCATATGTCTTAGAACATATTCCAATATGGAAACAAAACAATTTCTAAAGAACCACAGTAGGAGGTTGCCCAGCGTGAAGGATTTGATCTGTAGCTGTTTTCTTAAAATGCAGGCGTGCGTGCATGCCCCCAGACGGAAATTGCCTATAGCAATTCGTAAATAAATGGATGAGGTGATTATTGGTCTCCGAAGAATTATAAATTGGGTATTGTAAATTTGGAATTAGTGCATTCCCTTTTTTATAAGGTAACCTGGGAGCCTTTCATTTGGGAGATATTGATCTGAATCCATGTTGTCCATGTGCTCATAGTGAAGTGGGAAGCAGTCTTGCAGAAATAAAAGGAAGCACTTGACAGTGGGTATTTCGACAGTGGGTATTTACTTTTCCCGGAGCCACTCACAGACAGTATATTCAATACCACAATAAAAGTGCCAGATGTTTTCTCGAATTGTTATGTTTAGTTACGCCTGTAAAAAAAACAAAACAAAACCCATGAGAATTACTCTCCTGAAGTAGTTTTCTACTTGTTTGACTTGTATTCCCTTCTGTTTAATCTTCTCTTTCCAGCTATTGGTGTCAGTAACCAGAGGGAAACCACTGTAGTCTGGGACAAGTTAACTGGAGAGCCTCTCTACAATGCTGTGGGTAAGCTGTTGTTTGTGTATGTCAAATGCAAGGCCTTTCTCCACTCGCAAACATTGTCACCCTGAAATGTCTGGCTGAGAAAGCATGTAGTCGTGTTTCCTATACTCGGATGGGATGGCCAGAATAGTCCTCTAAGAAATTAGTTGTTCCGTATTTACCATCTTCAGGTATTTATTCACATCTTGAATTAAGTCTTTCCCTTGCTTTCTCCTTTTCCTGATTATTTGTATTATACAAATGGTTCAGTGTTGCCACAATTGTTTCATAGTCCCTGCTGTTTCTGACACCTAAAAGAGATCTCGCCTCTTCCCCTCAAAAATCAAAATTACTCGTGTGCACAGTCATTTCTCTATAAAGTACTTGGGTACTTGTTCTTTCCATCTAGTAATTTGAATTGACTCATCTGAGGTTATGAAAATAAAATCTCAACATTTTAGCTCCTTTTGCTACACATTTGGCTATTTCAGCAGGGGTTCAAAAACTCAAAATCTCAAATACACCAACATTAGGTATCACATCTTACTTAAATGTAAATGACCTTGAGTATAATGTAGCATACTCTTCGCACATGATATTTGGGCACTAAATGACACTGTCAGTTGCTAAAAGGAAAATTTTGTTGTAAATATACAGTCACTAAAATGCATTATTCTATTCACAAATGGCAAAACACAAGTTTTTGTCAATAAAATACCAGGTTGTGAGATGGGGAATGGAGGCAGAAATTGTCAGAGATGGGATGATTTCTAGAGTGAGCTATTTTTACTTGATAGTTATTTTAGTAGTATAGTTACTTTAGTATTGATTGGAAGAAAGTGATATTCAAGCAGAAAATATACTAAAACGGTGCCTTGTAAGAATAGCATGAAACCTTTAGAAATAATCTTTATAAAAAATTAAGGTAGTTAAAGTTACTGTGTTATCAGAGACCATTTAGTATGTCTTTTGTACTTGTGATAAAAAAATTAGACTCAAAAAATGTCAAAGAATTGCAACCATAGGTCCTGTTACACAAAATTATGTGTTTTAAATATTTATTTTGTTCTCATTTTCATGAGCAAATCATTTTAAATACAAGTAAAGCAGGATATTACAATTTTAATGACTGATACCTAGGGGGTATTCTTTCATGGATCACTATTTGCCAACTTCTTGAACTAGTTAGGGTTTTACTTTTTTTTTTCCCCTTAGGGAAAAGGAAGGACCTTCTCAAAGGAACCAAAAAGTTCCTGTTAAACTCTAAACTTTGAATTGTAAAAATGCAACTTTGGACTTTGAGTTGTCATTTTAAAATAATGCAACTAGGTTAGTTGAAGTTATACTTAAGGTAGAAGATTTAAGTTAATATTTTACCAGAAATATTTTCTTTTCTGATGTGCTTATATACTCATTTCCTTTTCTTCTATCTTTGTCACTCTCTGCCCCATCCTATGTGCTTTCCAGTATTAATTTCTACTGCATCTATGGCATATGAAGAACTTTTTTCAGTACTGAACCATGCACATGTCTTGAGAAGCTCTTATGTGTTTGGTGCTATACTGAGTGTGTTACGGAGGATATGAGTTATCGGCCAGTTTTATAAACACTTTGTAATCTACTTTTGGTAAGAGACTAACACAGAATTAGGGAATCGTTGATAAACTATGCTGCTAAAATGAATAGGAATTAGAGCAAATACATGTTAGTATGGATTTTGAATTTTGGGCATACCTTTGGGGGAGCTTGAACTCCATCTTAGAGCTTGAAGAATGTGCTGGATTACATTAGGAAAAGGGGAAAATGAAGGCTAGTGTGAACAAGCTATGAAGGTGAAAATGTCTGCACATATTTCACCAAAGAGTGAAGAGACTGATCAGATTCACAGATAGGGTGACTTATTTATTAGTTTTAATAGAACTAGCAGTGATAATAATGCTCAATAAGGGCTAACGTTACTGTGTGCTACGGATTGCACTAAACACGTTGCCCATATTATTTAATCTCAATGATCCTGAAGCAGGTTTTACTTGCCTTATCTTACAAATGAATTATGGGGGGAACAGCTACATAACTTGTCCAACGCCATATAACTGTAAGTAGAGGTAAAGCCACAGTTTGAACATAAACCTCTCCAACCCCAAAGCCTATGTTCTTGTTTGGATAAAAAGGGGTTGGTGAGGATATAGAGAGTGCTGAAAGCCGTACACTGGGTAACATGGGACAAAGTGAGTAATAAAGGAGAGTTTACTTTCCCATATGGTGGAATGGATTGTTTCAAATGCACCTGTCTACCAAGAACAGCTCAAAAAGTACAAAACAAAATAAAACTGTCTGAGGGACTGGAAGGCTACCAAGGCAGTGAAGAATTATGGGACCAAGATCCAGGAGAGAAGGGAAGCCCAGAGAAGTAAGCCTGGCATTTGGTGCTGCTTATTCCCTAGAAATACTCGTAGATTCTATGAGGAGTATCTGAGGCTGAGCAGCATTTTCATAGGTTCATGGAAATAGGGAGGCAAAAGGTAGTCAGGCTGCCGGGGGTAGAGATAAATATGGGCAAAATCCTAGACTTTTGATTGCGACTGTGTAGGGCCAACCCTAGAAGTGAGGTAAACTGGGACTACACTACCCATCACAGGAGTTAAAGCCCAGATTCAAGTAATTTAAAGCACTGAGTGGATTATGGTGATCTAAGATTGCTAATGCTCCTAGCCTAACTTCCTTTTAGACATAAAAATGAACCCTTTCTGGAGGAAAATTATCTCTAGAGTTTTTCATATATGATTTCTAGTTTTCTATAAAAAAATAATCAAGCATACAAAACAAGACATGACTAAAAACCAACAGAAACAAATAACCTTAGAAACCAACCCATAGGAAATCCTGATATTAGAGTTATCAGACTTTAAAGTAATCATGATCAACATGTTCAAGGAATGCCTTGACAAGTTTGGTCACCTTAGCCAAGAGTTGGGAATTTAAAAATAGAAATTCTGGAACTGTATTAAAAACTCAGTTGATGAGTTTTACATCAGATTAGACACAGCTCAAGATGAATTAGTGAACTGGAAGAGAGATCAGAAGTAAATACCAGACTGGAGCACAGAGAGACAAAGGTTTAGAAAACAGAAAAGAATCTGGGAGAAAGATGGGGTAAGGTGAGGAGGTCTAGAATATTTATAATTGGAGCCCCAGGAGAAAAGGAAAGAGAAATGATACGGTTTTTCAAAACTGACAAAAGATATCACAGATTCAAGAAGCACTGTATTTCCCAGGCAAGACAAACACACAGAAAGCCATATGTAAACATGTGGAGATCTGAAGATAAAAAGAAAAATTTCTAGGTAGCCAGAGGATATGACCTTCAAGAGAGCTACACTGACTTTCAGTGGAAACAAAGGAAGTCAGAATACAATAGAATGAAATCTCTAAAGTACTAAATGAATCTATCTTCCATCTAGGATTCTAAACCCGTGAAAATATTCTTAAGTAATTAAGGTGAAATATAAAGGCAAAGACAGACAAAAACTGAATTTTGATGGCATAAAACAATAACATCTTACAATGTTCAAAATTTATTAAGAATTAAAATACACGACAACAGATGTACATGAAAGGAATTTAGGGTAGGTGAGTCTAAACTGTTTTGAGGTCCTTGTATTGTCAAGGATGCATGTTGTAATAATCTCCAAGCAATGAGTAAAATAATGTATAATTAACAAGCTTATAAAGGGGGAATATTGAATGATTTAAAAAAAAAAGGCAAAAAAGGAAAGAAAAAGGAATGTGAAACAGGAAGGAAGGACAAATAGAAGGCATTTAAATCCAAATATGTAAGTAAGTATATTAAAAAGGACGAGATTCATTTCTCCGCTAAAATCTGGCAAAGGTGTTGAGACTACTAATCAGTGGGTGGGATTAGTGCCAAGACAGTGGAGAGAAGGCAAACCGGAGAGACCTTTCAGAGGAAAGTCACAACCTGTATGTTTGTAAATCAGATAGGACATAAAGATAAATGGGGGGGGGGTGTGGAAACAGGGCTGCAAGATTTTTAGCCTCCGAGAACAGAAGGAAATTAAGATTAAATCTTAATTTAACCTTAATAAACTTTAAGGGGTGTTAGCCTGCTTCTTCAAACAAGGTGAGTATTGGACTTGTAATCAAAGCTCATTTCTGGGCAATTAGGCTTGTGGCTCTTGTATAAAGAGATTGCTCAAATGTAAGATGGAGACCTAAAGTCAGTACCAGAGAGGTGAGACTCCCAGTTTATTATAGATGACTTCACTGTAGGAATGAATGTAAATTATTCAACAAAAGTTCAAGTGCCCGTCTGGGTACAGGTTCTATGATGAGCCCTGGGCAGCTAGTGACGAACCAGGCGGGCACCGTGCTTGTCTTTGTGACTCAGAAGGCTAAGGACAGGAATCTGGAAGTGAGAAGGAGGAAGGCGAATAGAAAAGTAGGAGAGAGAAGGAGTAAGTAGCTGAAAAGGGAGGCCACTTGGTCATGACAAGGATAGATTCTGCCTCCAATTTTATGTCACCCAGGAAAATGCTCAGGTGTCATATCTCCATGCAAGTCGCAATTGAGACTATCAACATAATATTAAATCTTCAGCAGCTTTCTCTTAACACAGGGTGGGACTGGGGGAAACAGAATTAGATTTTCACTTATCTTTGTCTTTGAGCTTCTTTGTTTATATCAAAGAATAAATCAAACCCAGCAGTCTGTGGGTTTGATTCTCTCTCTCTCTTTCCTCTTTGTCTCTTCGTCATAAATCACTGTAGGCCTGTCCTCTTCATCTCTCTCTTTCCTCACTCAATTATGCAACTGATTAGCAGCGTTTGTTATAGACAAGCCAAGGAGAGAAGCCGCCTACACTTCTCTTTTTTAAAAAATTGCTTTTTTATGTGGCCTGCTGCTTTATGGCCCTGGGGTCCTTCATAAGCAATCAGCTTACTCACCCCCAGTACCCGTCCTGTTATTGGACCTGAAATCCATTTGGTGTAGAAGTTGAAGACTGA